CCAGCCCCCTCAGAGGCCTCCCTGGGTCCACCCCTGGGCCCCCATCTGTTCTCAGTTAGTGTTCAAGGTCATGTCACTCCTCAGGCAGAAGCCTCCAGCGGCCCCCACGTCACTTAGAGCAAAAGCCATGCCCACACCTCTCCGCACGCCCCTGTGATAACACTTCCTGCCCCTCTCCCTGTCCTCCCTCCCTCCCTCCCTCGGCTGCAGCCACTAGGCTCTCCTGCTCTCTTTCAAGCAGCCAGGCCTGCCCTCCCATCTCCAGGCCTTCGCCCTGGCCGTTCCCTCAGCCCAGAAATCGTTCCTTGGAGATGCGCCGGGCCTGATCGTCCCGCCCGGATGTCCCCGTGTTTCTCAGCCTCCGGCGGACCCCAGCACTCAGACTGGGATTGTTCAAGGACCTTTTGCAAAGGGGTGGATGGGATGCAAGGAAACCCTCTGGGACTCCCAGGCCTGCGGGGGAGGAAAATAAGTGGCCGCTGGAACCAGGAAGGAGAGCGCTGTGGGACAGGCCATCGGACAAGGGCAGGGACCAGCCCGGAGGGACCAGGGACATAAACACCTCCCTCTCCTTCCTGGCTCTCCCGAACAGTAGCAAAGGGTTTCCTTGCATCCCACCCACCCCTGGCTGCAGGGCCAACGACGGCTCCCCGGCCGCCAGCCACTCCCACCGCCAACTCCCAAGTCCTCTTTCCTGGCCCGTTTCTTCCCCTGGCACTTACCTCCCAACATATTTACCTACTCACGAGGGTTATTTTTATTGTCGGTAAGGTCCAGAGACGGGGATCTTAGTTTCCTTTATTCTCTACTGTATCCCCAAAACACTGGCTGGACATGGCAGACACTCCATAAACACTGAACAGATGAGTGCGCCCTCAGCTCGCTGGGCCCCGGGGCCCCTGCCTGGGGAGGGAGCGGGCGGCCCTCCGGGATCGGACAGGAGCCAGCGGAGCCTGGCCGGGGAGGGAAGGAACGCCTGTGCCAGAGCAGCCCCCCCCCCAACCCCCCCAAACCTGCGGCTCCCGGAGCAGAACCCCGCCCTTCCCCAGGGCTGTGATGTCGCGCGACCAGGAGGGTTGTCGTTGGCAAAGGCCTCCCTGCGTTTGGTTTTCGGAACAAGGCGCTGCTCTGTGAGATCTCCTGCCTCGTGAATCAGCTCTTTGAGGGCACGCCTGGCCCCTCTCCTGGGCCTCCAAGAAATGTTTCCTTCAAGGAAGCCCGAACCCAGTGAAGGTCCCGGAGTGGCAGGCCAGGGCTGTGTGTTAGGCCTCCCGTGGCCAGGCCGTGAGGCCCGGGGCCGGGGCTGTGCAGGGCCTGCTGGTCACAGGGCTGCCCTCGCTGGGCTCGTGGGGTCCCCCCCACCCCAGGTGCCCAGGGCGCTGCAGGGGCCTTTGGGATACAGCACTGCCACCCCTCAATAGGCTTCAATGTCCTACGGAAGGGAAGACTCAAAGATGACAGCCAGCCCGGCCAGTGTGGCTCAGTGGTTGGGTGTCGCCTTTGAACCAGGAGGTCATAGTTCGATTCCCAATCAAGGCACATGCCCATGTTACAGGCTCAATCCCCAGTGTGGGGTGTGTAGGAGACAGTGATCAGTGATTCTCTCTCATCATTGATGTTCCTGTCTTTCTCTCTCTCTCCCTTTCTCTCTGAAATCAATAAAAATATGTATACACATAAATAGGTGACGGCCAGCCCAGCCCAGCCTCCCCTGTAAACCTGTGTGTTTTCTCTAAGGGATCTGACAACTGAAAGCTATTTCAACCCAAACACCAACAGGCCTGGGGAGGGAGACTCAGCATGTGATACTAATCTTCCTCTGAGAAAAACACACCAAACGTTGGAAACCAATAGGAAAATTCTGAAAAATAGGAACATACCACACAAAACCTAGAGGTCATAAAGTAAAAAGATGGATAATGAGAACACATAAAAAACTAAAAGCAGCCCTGGCTGGTTTGGCTCAGTGGATAAAGCGTCGGCCTGTGGACTCAAGGGTCACAGGTTCGATTCTGGTCAGGGACATGTACCTTGGTTGTGGGCACGTCCCTGGTGGGGGGTATGCAGGAGGCAGCTGATTAATGTTTCTGGCTCTCTATCACTCTCCCTTCCTCTCTGTAAAAAAAAATCAATAAAGTATGTTAAAAAAATAACAAAACAAAACAAAACAAAACTAAAAACATGGCTCAGCTGGCATGGCTCAGTGGTTGAGCATCCACCTATGAATCAGGAAATCATGGTTTATTCCTGGTCAGGGCACATGCCTGGCTTGCAGGCTCGATCCCCAGTGTGGGGTGTGCAGGAGGCAGCTGATCAATTATTCTCTCTCATCATTAATGTTTCTACCTCTCTTCCTCCCCCTTCCTCGCTGAAATCAATAAAAATATAAAACAAAAAATCTGAATGAAGAAAATTATAAAAAATGCCACACACTGTGACAACTATTTGTAACATATAGTCACATAAAAGACTAATCTCCTTAATATGCACATTTTAAAAATTAATATTTAAAAAAGTGAACCAAATTTTAAAATGAGCAAAGACAATCACAAGGAAAGAAAATTTAAAAAATGAAATGATGTTCAACTTCCCTCGCAATTAAAGAAATGCATAACAAAATAACAGTGAAATACTATTTTCAACTGCCACACTGGCACCAGTGTTTTACAGTGCACAAAGGGCATGGGGAAAGAGTCTTACATTGTTGGTGGGAATGTAAATTGATCAACATTTTGGAAATAGCTATTGTTGCAGGGTAAAGGTGGCCAAACATTCCTTGACTGTTCTCAATAGAGAGGTGAGGTCTATGTTCCCTTCCCTTGAATTTGAGCTGGTTTGTGAGTTCTCTGACCAGTAAAATACAGCAAGAATGAGAATATCCTCGTTCTAGATGTTTATCCCTTAACTTGCCCAGCAGGTTCCATCTTAGCTCTTGCAAGCCAACCGCCAGTTTACCTGAAATGCAATTACCTGACATCATCCTGCTGTGAGAAGCCTGAACCAGGTGAGGAAGCCCTGGAGGATATGACACCACGTGCAGAGAGAGAAGTCACACAGCATTGAGGCTGGGTCATGTGAGTGATGACTCCAGCCTGGAGGAGAAGCAAAGATGAACCATCCAGCTGAGCCCTTCCTGAGTTCTTGACCCACAAAATCATGAGTGAAATAAAATGGTGCTTTTAACCACCAAGTTTTGGAGTAGTTGATTATACAGCCATAGGTATATAGCTATCCAAATTTAAATTTACCCTTTGACATAGCAACTGCATGGATTCTATGAATTTAATCTACTGAAATGTTTATACAAGTGTACAAAATCACCTGAACAAAGACATTCATTGCATTGCAGCAATGCTTGTGAGAACACAGGACTGGAAATGATTTACCTGTCCATCATTAGGAGAATGGCTAAATTAATTACCATACACCTCGTTAACTGTATATACTGTGCCGGGTGAAAGCCTGAGACAAGAAAAAAATCCCATGTGTGGTTCTGCAAGCCTAGGGTGACATGACAGAGTGAAGAGCACAGATTCTGGAGTCACAGACTCTAGCACTACCATATGTGACCTGTGCAACTCTGGGGAAAAAAATGTTTAACTTCTCTCCATGCCATCATTTCCTCATATGCAAAATGGGGACGATAATCACAGTATCTACTTTGGATGGCTGTGGTGAGAAATAAATGAGTTACAATGACAAGCCTGGTATGCATCTGTGCTATACGTATTTTGAAAATGCAAAGAGCTTGGAATTTAAGTTGGGTTAGACCTGACTTTTAGTATCTGCGTAGCAAAGGATCTGCCAGATTGACGTCTTGGGTGGGGCGGGGAAGGGAGCTGTGACCAATAAAGGATTGAAGCAGTGGTGGGAGAATGTTTTTAAAGAAATGGACTCCTACCGTACTTCTTGTCCTACCCCTTGTCATCTTTCAGAGATTCTTCCTACATCAGCACTCACAGACCCACTCCGTCCTCTTTAACCACTGCTCAGCATTGCATCGTATGGCTGCGCCTCCATTTATTTCCCAACCCTCTCTTGATGGACTCTTGGGTTGGTTCCCTTTCTTTGCCATAGTTACACACAATACTGAAACCAACATCCCTGCACATTTTCTTTGCCTGCTATTATTTAGCACTGCTATTATTACTGTGGTGTATATTCTTAGGAATGGAGTTGTTGAGCATAAAGTATATGAACATTTTTTAAAAGCCTGCACTTTTTTTTTTTTTTTAAAGATGAACTCAGTATCATTTTGCCAAGTCTTATCAGGCCTTGTTTTGAACGAATACAAGGATGAATCAGCCACCGTACTGTCCTGAAATGTTCACGGTCCGGCAGGCATGAGAACAGGGGTAGCAGTGGAACGGGGGTGATAGATGCAGAACAGTCAGCCTGGGGAGGCCAGGGCTGGCCCATGACGCTGGGAGCCCCGGGAGAGAGCAGCATTTTGGATCTGGGGCAATCAGGGCGGCCTCCACAGGGGGCCTCGCCTTTGCACTGGGGTCTCAGAGCACTTTTTAGAACCCCTGCCCATTGAATTCTCACGACAGCCTTTGCATTAGGTATTATTATTATTGTTAGGTAGTATTATTATCTCCACCTTACAGATGAGGAAACAGCCCTGGAAAATGAAAACCTTTTCCAGCCCCTGTGCTTCCCCATCATTTCCCCCTCTGTCCCTGCCTCCCATCCCCACTCCCTCCCTCCACTTCCCACCCTGACCCGTGCTGGCTGGGTTGGCAGAACTCTGAGTGTGGGCACTGCCTATGAACACTGCCTCGGCTAGGAGACCACACAAAGCTGCTTCGCTCCCCAAGCCAAGAATGCCAGGTCATCCCACCCCTTCTCCAGGCAAAACCTCTTTTGTTTCTTTACTTTTTTAATTTTTATAGAATAGAGAAAAGGGTTAGAACACACTATACTATGGCAGGTATTAACGCCCTAATGGGTATGAGGTAAGGTGACAGACAACCCATTCCATCTAGGAGCTGGGAAGCCTATGTTTCTGATCTGGGCACTGCGGGGGGTGGGCACTGGCGACCCTCAGTTAGTGAATCAAGACCAGCAGATTCTCTGAGAACTCTAGCACACCGGGACAATAGCTGTCAAGATGTAACTCTAGCCCCGGGCAAAACCTCGTTTAGAAATTAGGCCTTCACAAAATTTTTTGAGGGGGAAGGGAGGGGGTTAAGCATTTGCCATGTTCTGCAGTTTTTAAAAAATGTACATTACTCTAACAGGAACCCATAGTCAATTCCCAAACTTTCTGTCTTTTTCCTCTGGTATATCTAGAAAGGTCGGAGGCAGTTAACCGCACATTTACTCACGTCCCCGCTGCATCCCTCCCTCCCCCGCCCGCCCTCACGCACCACGCCCCGGCCTGGCATTCTAGGACCTCCACCCGCACTGTGGGGAGCCGGCAGCAGGAGGCCCGGATGGAGGGCCCACGCGATGCAGAGCAGACAAGCGCCCGCTGCCCCGCGATGTGCCTGCTTCTTCCCCTCGGGCCGAGCCAGCCTCAGGGCAGACCACAGCCCGCACCCGCAGCCCCGCCTTCTTCGCGCCCCTCCGGCTTACGTCACAGCCATGACGATGCGGGGCACAGACTTCGTGTGCGCACACCCGCGGGAATTACGGTATTTAGGGCAGCTCTTCGCTGCTCTGGCTCCCCCGCGTGTCGATAACAGGAACTGCAGCCGGGACAAAACCCGCCCCGCCCGCTCCCGGCCGAGTATCTGGAGGAGGCTCAGCGCCCACCCTCCGGTCTGCACCAGAGGACCTGCTGGCGCTGTTTCTGAGACTTTCTCCCAAATCGCTTTTCTTCCCGGCGAGAGGGTCCGCCCCTAGAGCCGGGTTGCCCCGACGGAGGCTGGTCTGAGAGATGTCCTCGGGTCTCACCGGTGGTACGACCCCAATCTGGGCCCAGCGGGTGCAGCACCTTAGGGACCACTGGGTTCACTTTGAAGAGAGGCACATCCGGATCCCACTTGCAACTCTCACCTGCTTGCAGCGTGCCCCTGGTCGAGTCATTTACTTCTCAACTTCGCCTCTGTAAATGGAGCTTAGATTTCCTGGCACTGGGCCCCAGGCAGTGCCAGTGGCAGATAGGAGCAGAAGGATAATGATCACCACCATATTGGGGCATTCACTGCATGCTGGGGAATGCCCTAGACATTTTGAAATGACCTTGTTAAAAAATTGAGGGAAGAAAATGAGATTTAGTGATTTGCCCAGAGTCACACAGCTAGAGGATGGCAGAGCTGGGACTAAGACGCAGGAAGACATGGGCACACAAGTGCTGGGGAGGCTTGTGAATTTGGGGGGTGTCCAGAGACCTGAAAATAATCCAGCCCTGCCCTTTTGGGTTGTTAACCAATGCTTTCTTCTTCTGATAGATTACTCATCCCATTTTAGTATAGTTCTTCCATAGGAAGGAGCCTAAAAGACCATCCAGGCCTATTTCCTTAAGAAAAAGGGCAAAGCCCAGCCGGTGTGGCTCAGTGGTTGAGCATGAACCTATGAATGATTCAATTCCTGGTCAGGGCACTTACCTGAATTGCAGGCTCAATCCCAGTGTGGGGCATGCAGGAGGCAGCCAATCAGTGATTTTCTCTCATCATGGATGGGTTTTTTTCTCTCTCTCCTTCCCCGTTGTTCTCTGAAATAAATAAAAATATACTTTAAAAGGAAAAAAGAGAGAGAGACTTGTCCAGGGCCACACAGCTTGTCCTGTTGTTCCCCCATCTCCCTCCCCTCGCCTTTGGGTGAACAGTTCTGCGAAGTGATGCTCCTTCCCACTAACAGTCAAATTGCCCACTCACCTCTCCGGGGGCTGCCCATGGGCCACTCCTGACCCACTTGGCCAGAACCTCTGCCCCCACACCTGTTCCCTCCTCTAGGCACACCAGCCTTCTTCCCTCACAGAGCTGATGCTCTAAGCAGAGAGACAAGTGCAGCTTCTGACTCCCTAGTGCCGGCACAAGACCAGCAACTATTTACCACTGTTTGCATGTGTGTGTATGTGTGTGCTTGTTGGGGAGGGGGCAGCAAAAGGAATGCTCAGAGACCGAGTTGTCTTTGCCAGCAATTTACTTAAGCACAAGTTTGCTGTAAGAATTCTAATGATTTCAGCCGAAACCGGTTTGGCTCAATGGATAGAGCGTCGGCTTGGGGACTGAAGGGTCCCGGGTTCGATTCCAGTCAAAGGCATGTACCTTGGTTGGGGGCATATCCCCAGTAGGGGGTGTGCAAGAGGCAGCTGATGGATGACTCTCTCTCATCGATGTTTCTAACTCTCTATCTCTCTCCCTTTCTCTCTGCACAAAATCAATAAAATATATTAAAAAAAAGAAAAAGAAAAAAAGAATTCTAATGATTTCATAAGGCAAAGCACACAGGATACTATCTCATAATAAGCCAAATACAAAAATAACATACTCCAAACAAATGACAAATTGATCACACTGTATGTTCCAGACAAGGGGAGATGAAAGAATAAAGTCCAGATTTAATATGAGGTGTGCCTTTTTTTTACCAGCAGGCACTGGATAGACCAACGAGAGCTGATTTCCCGCTGCCAGTGCCTAAAGTAAAAGTTCTCTGTTGCTAGAGCACGTTGCTAGGGAGTGAGATGCTGCTGGTTGTGGTGGGTGAGCTGGCCTCTCTCACTGGGCAGCCCTATGGCTTGTTACCACTGCCTCTTGTCTGAGCAGGACAGGAGAGAATGCCCCAAAGGCCTGTAGGGAATTTTTAGGTTAAAACTCAAATAGTCCTCACAAACTGTCAATATTTATAGTGTGAATGTTCCGTTGCCATGGTTACTTCTAACCACTTTCTTATCGATGAGTCTTATCAGTGACAACAGATGATGACATCCTGGCATCACTTCATATTTGTATCAAAGCAATTTTTTCTCTTGGTCATAAACGAGTCGATTAAAACAACTTCACTTAAGTCATAAACAAGTGGATTCAAAATCATATTAAACCTGTGTACAACTGTGTGTATCTTTTTCTTTTGTTAGGAAGGGGCTAGCATAGCATATAGCAAGTGATTCCCAATGGCATTCTTGAGCAGGTGAATTATAGCTATTTTTTCCCTTGCCTGTATTTTAAATTTTCTTTGATAACCAACAGACATTACTTTATTAATAAAACAAGAAATTCTCTTTAGCTCTGGCTTCTGTGGCTCAGTTGGTTGGAGCGACATCCTGTGCACCAGAAGGTTGCGGGTTCAGTTCTGGTCAGGGCACTTACCTAGTTTGTGGGTTCAATCCCCAGTAGGGGCGCAACTGCTGGATGTAGTTCTCTCACGTCCATGTTTCTCTCTCCCTCTTTCCCTTCCTCTCTTTCTAAGATCAATTAAAAAAAAACCTCTCTTAAGAAAAAGGTCAACAATCATAAAGGAAAGTGAGCTAGAGATAAGAACAGATTGTTCTCAGAAAAAATAAAAGTGGTTCATAAACATAGAAAAAGATAACCAACTTTGCCTGTAATGATAGGATGCAAATTAAAATTACACTGAGCTTAACATTTCTTGCCTATCAGATTGGCAAAATTCCAAGTTTGAGAGTGTATTCTGTTGGAAAATCTGAGAGAAATAGGCTCTCTCATACACTGCTTGCTGATGGGGGTTGAAAATAGTGTAGAGCCGGGACCAGTTTGGCTCAGTGGATAGAGGGTCGGCCTGCGGACTGAAAGGTCCCGGGTTCGATTCTTGGCAAGGGCATGTACCTTGGTTGCGGGCACATCCCCAGAAGGGGGTGTGCAAGAGGCAGCTGATCCATGATTCTCTCTCATCGATGTTTCTAACTCTCTATCTCTCTCTTCCTCTCTGTGAAAAATCAATAAAATATATTAAAAAAAAAAAGAAAGAAAGAAAATAGTGTAGAACATGTGGATGGGATTTGGCAACAGCTAGTAAAATCATTTGTGCACTTACCCTTTGACCCAGAAATCCATCTCTAAGAATATACCCCATAGGTCTGCACTGGCAAAAATACCAAATGGCTCAGTGGATAGAGCGTCAGCTTGTGGACTGAAGGGTCTCTGGTTTGACCCGGGTCTAGGGCACATGTCCAGGTTGCAGTTTTGATCCCCAGTAGGCGGCGTGCAGGAGGCAGCCAATCAGTGATTCTCTCATCATTGATGTTTCTATCTCACTTTCTCTCTCCCTTCTTACTATGCACCCAAAGGCCACCGGGTTAATCTCACCATGACATACCAGACTTGGAACTAGCACCTACCTCAGCCCTGAGGGGCAGAGTCAGATGGGTCTGAGCTCAGCTTTAAGATACTGAGCAGAAACTATAGCTTCGGGCTAAGAAATTCTGCAGGTTGCAGATGCTTAACAGAACCATGGCCATGTTTTAAGGGTCCATCCTAAGAGCTGACAATTAGCTAACTAGGACATGCTCTGTATTTCATCTCCTGGCCCTGACACAAAACTGACAAGCGTTTCCACATGAACCTGCATCAGGGAGAAAAGCAATGGTAATGGAAGAAAGTGGGAGGTGATTCTGCAGTGGGAAGTGTTGCTGCCACCACCCTTTTTAGAGTTTTTCTTGTCCGTTTGTTCTTGTGGTAAATGGAAGAATGCGGTATGTCAAGAACAACAACAAGCTGAAACCAATTTGGCTCAGTGGATGGAGCGTCAGCCTGCGGAATGAAGGGTCCCGGGTTAGATTCCAGTCAAGGGCATGTACCTTGGTTGCGGGCACATCCCCAGTAGGGGGTGTGCAGGAGGCAGCTGATTGATGACTCTCTCTCATCGATGTTTCTAACTCTCTATCTCTCTCCCTTCTTCTTTGTAAAATAATCAATAAAAATATTTTTTAAAAAAGAAAGAAAAAAGAACAACAACAACATGGCTGTTGTAATAAAAATGCAATTTTCACCCTAGCTGGTTTGGCACAGTGGATAGGGCATAGGCCTGAGGACTGAACGATCCTGGGTTTGATTCTGGTCAAGGCACATACCCGGGTTGTGGGCTCGATCCCCACTCGGGGGCATTCAGGAGGCAGCTGATCAATAATTATCTCTCACCATTGATGTTTCTATATCTCCCTCTCCCTTCCTCTCTGAAATCATATAAAAATATGAAATACATATAAAAAATGCAACTTTTCCAC